AAAAACGAGAAGGAAGAACAGAAAAAAAAAAGTAAATTGTTAAAGGCACACAACAGGCTTCATCACTTATTTCATTGGTATTTATTTATTCAATTATTAATTTCATTTATTAAGATAATCTATATAATGTTTCAACATTTCTTATTTTAGTAAATTTATTCGGCAGGAAAATGATCAGAAATTTTTAGTTGGTAATCTTTTGTCTTACTTTAGAAGCCCGAACTAGCATAAAATTAAGACATCCAAGTCAAGAACGGTACTTGGAACAAATCATTGCAAAATCAGTAGACAAACTATATCCTGCATCTAGATAACAAGTTCCTTTGCAACAATTTTCTTTCTCAAAACAACAAAACCATGAATAACAAATGTTACGCGGAAAATTCGAGAATACCAGCAGCACGCGTAGTTGGATGAACAAAATGCCTACAGCAGAAAAGCCTCAATCATGAGCTAACGAAACTAGTATTCTTTACATCACTTCTTGGCTTTCTTGGCTCCCCTGAGAAGAAGAAATTCACATAATTTTAGTTAAGGAATATATTTTTGTGTGGACTTAATTATATAACATTAGTGAAAACTGCAATAATTTTTTACCCTGTAGGTGTAGGTTGAGCAGCAGGAGTAGCTGCTGGTGTTTTCTCTCCAGGTCCCTGAGAAAAATACAGAAAAGCAATGTAAGGGCAAAGGCAATAGTCACTTTCCAAATATGAAATCTACAAGTGCAAAATAAAAATTAAATATTGGAATATAAAAACTCAAAAATCTCCGCAACTGTGAAAAGACCAAATTATCTTTCGAAAACTTGGTGGTAGTTTTCATGGTGCAGGTACTGGATCTCATTAACTTCAGACAAACCATACACAGATCAGAAACAATAAATTCCACAGTAATGTTCAAATTGAGACTTGCATTACGCCTCCCAGAATATAGTTACATAGTTCCAAAGCCATTAAACCTAATCCAATAACAGAGAATGTAAAACACCGTCCATGAAAAAGTAATTCTGTATTTACCTGAGCCAATCTTTCCTCTCTCCTGGCATGCTTTCTCTCTCTGCTAGCCTTGTTCTTAGCACGCTTGGCTTTGAACTGATCAGACAAGGTCTTCTCCCTAGCCTTTTCAGCCTTGGATTTGTGGATGCTCTCCATTAGCACTCTCTTGTTCTTGAACACATTACCTTTAACCTTCATGTACATATCATGGTACATGTGCTTGTCAATCTTCTTTGCCTCCCGATACTTACGGAGTAAACGTCTAAGGACACGCATTCTCCTCATCCAGAGAACTTTTGTTGGCAACCGAGCCTCTCTGGTACCCTTCCTCTTACCTGAAAACCCATTTCATTCTTTAATTAATAAAGTAGCATATAGAAACGTAAAAAAGCAAGGTAAGATGCATGTGACTCAGTACACTAACTGAATTGAGATGTCAAATTGGGGAGTTTGGACAGTGAAAAAAATACTTGAAACGATTTTCACAAATAGCACAACTCATTTAAGTAAAAATCAGCCCAACCAGCTTAAACAAGCTTTGCTGTTTTGAATAAAAAAAAAACAGTTACTTGTAGCCAATGATGCCTATGACCATGAAAAAAAAAACTAAACACAGCTTCTCATTTTCAAGACAAGAGTGTAGGTTGGAAACAACTAGGAAGATTCTTTGTAGGCCATACCATATCCTGAGTGTCGACCCTTTCTCTTGGCCTCCTTCATTCTACGAGCACGGGATCTTGAGTGAATTTTGGTTGGCCTCCTGATGATGAAGCCATCCTTTACGAGCTTCCTGATATTTTGTCCTGCACCGAAACATATTTATCACACCTAATCACCACAACTCCTTTACACTGAACCAATTAATAGTAACATCATGAACTAAAGACGGTTTACCCTTCATTCCTTTATGAACGTACAAAAATGAAGACACAGAGACATGTACTCAGGGTAACTTTTACATCATAGGAATAACTTATTGATTGGAATATAGTGTGCATAATTTTTTATTACTTTCCCAAATTTTTTAAGGAAAAATAAGAGGGTGATTACATCAAAGTCAGGACATGTGAATTCAGTAATCTATTATCCAACAAATAGAACATATAAAGGTGTTCTGGTGATGTAGAGAACAAGGTCGAACATATCAACATACAAAAGGTGAGACATTTTATGCTAGACTCATAGTTCCTTGCAAATTCAATCAAATATTGACACCAGTCACTATTCAACATAATCAAGTGCTGGGAAACAGCAAAGTTCAAGACAACCTGAAAGCTAACCGCAAAATGTTTAGCACAATTATTGGACTATGCAATCAGGAAAAAGTAATCAGACAAGACGCAGGATAACCAATAACAGGAAATTCAATATCAAACTCATCTGTGATGGACAAAATTATCAATCATATCCAACAAGAACCTAGTATGTGACCAGAAACACTCAATTACATCCAACACGCACCACCTCGTCAATTTACGCTCAACCAGGAAAAATAAAATCAAATCAAGCCGTTAATTTACGGTAATCCAAGAAAAGAAGAAAGAAAATAAAAGCACATCAAGCTCTTCAATTTACGCTTAACCCACAAAGCACATCAAGCTCCGGAAACAAAAACCGAAAAATAATCAGATAAAAAGGGCCACAACGTAAAAAACAAAACCTTAATTCTCCACACTTCCATTTCTAAAAGCGAGCTACAAACAAACAGTAAATCACAGAAGCGTATGGAAGGCGAATGTTGCTTTACGAGAATTAGCCATGAAGATTTCGCTGCACTCGTTGGGGTCGAGCCATACTTTGCCTTTGCCGCAGCCGAGAACACTGGCGGCGAGCCGCTTTTGGAGCTTGAGCGACACCATTGCCCACGAAAAATCGTCAGTTTTTTATCGTTCCCTCAGAGATGGAAATGAAGGGCTTGCCTGTATATATGCGTATATATGTGGGGCAGTAAGCGAGTAACAGACTACGCTAGGGTTTGTCAAAAGTTTATTAAAGCCTGAATAAAACAATTTTGCTTTTTCTTTTTCTCATAATTTTCTTTCGCCCCACGTTCCTTTTTCCCCAAGTTCTGATGATGGAATGTTCGTCGATATATCATTTATTAAAACTAGTGCGATGCACGAGAAAACAATATTAAGATTATATTATAAATTAAATATATAAATAATATTAATCATGATTTATTTATTATTTTTAAATTAAACTGAGTTGGACACAGTCCGATCGGGATGAAGAAATGAAAATTAGGCAATTTTTTATTTCCAACTTTCATTTTTTTATTTATCTAGGGCTATACGGACTCGAACCGTAGACTTTCTCGGTAAAACAGATCAAACTTAATTATTATCAAAATGATCTGAGCTGTTTCAAAGACCCAACATGCATATTTTTTTTGCACTGGGCTCTTTCATTAACTGATAGAAATGTCGGTCAATTCGCCATATTTTTTCCTGACCGAAAAATAAGATAAGGAGATGGCTCCATGTG